TTCTTTAAAAACGAGACGAGTATCCTATTCCAGATCTCCATCCTTTGGAAACCGTCTCCTGAAATTATAATAAATTCATATGTAACCCAGCATTTCTCCTTTTAATCCATCTGCATATGTAAGTTCTGTACCATTGAATAACTCAAATCACTAAATTCTACCTCGCTGCCAATTTCCCAAGCAGATACTAGCCCTGATTGTCTGATCGCTCAGTCTGGTCCGCGAATCAGTAATTAAATGCCTTGCCTTTGAAAAGGCGTGCTCCGAGGACGCAGATGTGGCTGGGATTGCTAGATAATCCCTTGCCATTTTTGCAAGCAAGGGGAAATCCAATCCATGATGTTTCCACCACTCCAATGGGTCTTGCCTAGGATCCACCACTTGAGTATTCAAATATTCTTCGAGTTGCAAAGTAGGAGTCAACTTTTTATTTTTAAATCCCTACTTGCTGGAGTAGGTGCATTCGAATTCTAATGAAATGAGCGTGACAAAGTTTAAATACAAGTAATTACGCATGTGATTATCTGACAAGTCCAATGCCGTTTTGAATACCTCTAATTGCATCAAGCCACTTTGATCGTCGTACTCGGCATAAACGCTCTGGATTTGCCTTTTGATTTTTTCTTTCTGAGAAGCATTTTCTTGGGCATCCTGATTTTCGTCGTCGTAAAACTCAAGTTTGTGTCGAGGATCAAGTACCACAGCGATCACACAATGGTTACTGGAAACATTAAAATACTTGTCAAGCTTCATTTGAAATGCATTGGGATGCATTTGCTGCGTCTTTCAAATTTCCAATGTATCAATTGCAAGCGATTCATTGGCAATTCTTCGACGACTTGCTGGAGTTCCAGAAATCAAAGCGTCTAATCATTGTCCATAATCACTGACGGCATTTTCACAATGGTCCAATAACACGTTGTACCATGGTATAACGTATGACAACGTTTGATGCTTGTTGCTGCTGCATTCCATTGTGGCTTGTTTAAATGGTTGAAAGAAATGCACTAATTCAGTCAAGTCGCCCCAATCTCTCGCTGACGGCACGTCAGGGATCTTCTTTTCCATGTACAATTGATCCAAGATTTGAACGAGTGGTCCTAATTAACAAATTTAAAGACAACATGTTATTGCAAATTTAACTGCAAGGTGGCATACATAAAGTGCTCTTGAAGTTCAGCTCTAGATCCTTGACGTACCTCGCATTTTCAAATATGTGACCAGCATATCGAATGCAGAGTTCCATCTTGTGGAAACATCAAGGATTGGCTTTAAGATTCTCCCATTATCTTTTTCAGTTGTTACATCGATGCGGGGCAACATTGTAGCAATTTAATCCCTTCCCTCAGTGTCTCGATTGATGTCTTGATCTCTTGATGTGCATCTTGGGCGGCAAGATCAAGGACATGTGCAAAGCAACGATGATGACATTCGGGAGATTCCAAATAACCAGAATTGATGAGCTCTTGAATGAAAACCTCATTGTTGGACGCATTGTCAGTGCAGATTCCTAAAATGAGCAATTTCCTATCACCGCATATGGGTTCCACAATCTGCTTGAATAATGCCGCAATGTTCTGGCCGCTGTGGCTGTCATTAAACACAAGAAAGTCGACAAGAATGCATTTCAGTTTCCAATTTTTGTCAATAAAATGGGCAGTGACGGCCGTGTAAGCAACATTGTCTGGCGATGTCCATATGTCGGTCGTAAACGAGATCTTGGATGTGTTTTCTTTGATAAGAGCATAAACGTCAGCTTTTGCAATTTCGAAATCACGATTCACAGTTTGTGATACAGTATCGGCGGACTTGAAAATGATATGCTTGTTGATGTACAACATCATTTGTTGAAAATAGGGATTCCCAACAACCAAAAACGATTGCTGGTCACCAACGATCCACCGCTGTAGCTTGTTTTGAAATTCTGTCTGGGTAAACCCTGTCAGTACAAGAAAATAGATTACATCAAAAAATACAATATTAATATTCCAGACAGCAGAAATAATGACGCATCATACGAGTATGCAATGATTACCTTTTTCAAAGCAGTCTCGAGTCTTACTTTGTAGTTTTGTACCCTTCAAACTTATACTTGTGGAGTCTTTGGAATACCGATCCATTGCATCTGATAGAGCGTCGCAGTGTTTGGTCACCAAATGGGCAACAAGATTGAAGTTGGTTCTTGAATTTGTCTTGACGAGCTGCTGACAA